GGGAGAGAGGGAAAGGGAGAGGAAGAGAGGGAAGGAAAGGGGAGAGAGGGAAAGGGAGAGGAAGAGAAGGGAAGGAAAGGAGAGAGGGAAAGGGAGAGGAAGAGAGGGAAGGAAGGAGAGAGGGAAAGGGAGAAGGAAGAGAGGGAAGGAAAGGGAGAGAGGGAGAAAGGGAGAGGAAGAGAGGGAAGGAAAGAGAGAGAGGGAAAGGGAAGGAAGAGAGGGAAGGAAAGAGAGAGAGGGAAAGGGAAGGAAGAGAGGGAAGGAAAGGGAGAGAGGGAAAGGAGAGGAAGAGAGGGAAGGAAGGGAGAGAGGGAAAGGGAGAGGAAGAGAGGGAAGGAAAGGGAGAGAGCGGAGGGAGGGGGAGAGGAAGAGAAGGAAGGAAGAGAGAGAGGGACGGAAGGAAGAGAGGGAAGGAAGGAGAGAGGAAGGAGAGGAAGAGAGGGAAGGAAAGGGAGAGAGGGAAGGGAGAGGAAGAGAGGGAAGGAAAGGGAGAGAGGGAAAGGGAGAGGAAGAGAGGGAAGGAAAGGGAGAGAGGGAAGGGAGAGGAAGAGAGGGAAGGAAAGGAGAGAGGGAAAGGGAGAGGAAGAGAGGGAAGGAAAGGGAGAGAGGGAAAGGGAGAGGAAGAGAGGGAAGGAAGGGGAGAGAGGGAAAGGGAGAGGAAGAGAGGGAAGGAAAGGGAGAGAGAGAGGGAAGGAAGGGAGAGAGGGAAGAAAGAGAGGAAGGGAAGTCGTGAAAGGGAGAGAGGGAGGGAAGTAGGGAAGGAGAGGGCGGGAGATGGAGAGAGGGAGAGAAGGAAGGGAACTGTGTGGGTTGAAGGAGGGTTGGAGGGAGAGGAATATTGAGAAGAGAGAGAGAGAAAGAGATAGATAGATAGATAGATAGATAGATAGATAGATAGATAGATAGATAGAAGATAGATAGATAGATCGATAGATAGAAGAGAGAGAGAGAGAGAGAGAGGAAGAGGGAGAGAGAGAGAGTGAAAGAGAGAGAGAGAGGAGAGAGAGAGAGAGAGAGAGTGAGAGAGAGAGAGAGAGAGAGAGAGAGAGAGAGGAGAGGAGAGAGAGAAAGAGAGAAAGAGAGAAGAGAGAGAGAGGAGAGAGAGAGAGAGTGAGAGAGAGAGAGAGAGAGAGAGGAGAGAAGGAAGGAAAGAGAGAGAGAGTGAGAGAGAGAGAGAAAGGGAGAGAGGGAAAGGGAGAGGAAGAGAGGGAAGGAAAGGGAGAGAGGAAGGAAAGGGAGAGAATGAGGTGAGGAGAAGAAGAGCGTGTGGAAAGGGAGAGAGGGACGGAGACGAAGAGAGGGAAGGAAAGAGAGAGGGGGAAAAGGAGATGAGAGGGAAAGGGAGAGTGGGATGCGAGGAGAAGAAGAGTGTGTGGGAGAGGTTGAGGGAAGGAAAGGGAGAGAGAAAGGGAAAGGGAGAGAAGGAGGGGACGGAGGCGAGGAGAAGAAAAGTGTGTGGGAAAGAGTGAGAGAAAGAGAGAGGTAGGGAAAGAGAGAGGGAGGGAAGGAGAGCAAGAGAAAGCAAGAAAGGGAGAGAGGGAGGCGAGGCGAGGAATAGAGTGGGGGAGAAGGAGAGAGGGAGGGAAGGAGAGAGATGGAAAGAGAGAGAGGAAGGGAAGTCGTGAAAGGGAGAGAGGGAGGGAAGTAGGAAGGAGAGGGCGGGAGATGGAGAGAGGGAGAGAAGGAAGGGAACTGTGTGGGTTGAAGGAGGGTTGGAGGGAGAGGAATATTGAGAAGAGAGAGAGAAAGAGATAGATAGATAGATAGATAGATAGATAGATAGATAGATAGATAGATAGATAGATAGATAGATAGATCGATAGATAGAGAGAGAGAGAGAGAGAGAGAGAAAGAGGGAGAGAGAGAGAGAGAAGAGAGAGAGAGAGAGAGAGAGAGAGAAGAGAGAGAGAGAGAGAGAGAGAGAGAGAGAGAGAGAGAGAGAGAGAGAAGAGAGAGAAGAGAGAAGAGAGAGAGAGAGAGAGAGAGAGAGAGAGAGAGAGAGAGAGAGAGAGAGAGAGAGAGAGAGAGAGAAGAGAGAGAGAGAGAGAGAGAGAGAAAGAGAGAGAGAGAGAGAAGAGAGAGAGAGAGAGAGAGAGAGAGAGAGAGAGAGAGAGAGAGAGAGAGAGAGACAGAGAGAGAGAGAGAGAGGAGAGAGAGAGAGAGAATAACGGAACGGAAGAAAGAAAGAGACACAAAGAGAAAGAAAAAGAGAGAGAAAGACAGAGAGAGGTAAAACAAAAAAAAGAGGAAAGGACGATGGGGGGAGATAATAACAGACAGCTAACCAAGGGACACTCAGGAACAGAATGCCTTTAAGTGCCACGCTGTGTTAAGGGACAGAGTGCCAGGCAGTGTAGGCACTCCCCAGGTCAACGTCTGCCATATGAGCTCAGACAGTGAAGATGTTGCTTTTGATGACTGTGATGACGGAGATGAGATGGTGATGACAATGATGGTGGCCATGTGATAGTGATTATTAGTATGATGGTCCTGTGGTAGTCATGACTATGGTGGTGGTCTTGCGATAGTGATGACTATGATCATAATCGTGTGATAGTGAAGCTGATAGCTTTGTCATGATCATGATGGTGATCTGATAGTTTGATGGTTATGGTGCGATAGTTAGTATGATGGTGATTTGATAGTGATACTGATGATGACGATGACGATGACGATGACGATGACGATGACGATGACAATGGTTATTAAGGATGTTGATGTATTACTGATCTAGGTCTGATGACGATTATGATGATACAGATGGTGTTTGATAATCATGCTTATATTGAATATTGTAAACTGATGACTGATGCAGGAATGCTATTGTCAGGTTATTAGCGTTGCTGATAACAGTAATGATGTAATGATGATAATGACGATGATGATAATGATGACGATGAGCAACATTAGTAACAATAACATCTACATCATCAGCATCAACATCAACATCTGTGTGTGTGTGTGTGTGTGTGTGTGTGTGTGTGTGTCTGTGTGTGTGCATGCGTGTGTGTATGTGTGTGCGTCCGTATGTGTGTGAGTATACATAATTACATATATAATCATTATCATGGTCCGTGTCAGATGTGTCTACAGGGACCAAATGAAATATATCTTGCACGCATATAACATCCATGACGTCATAGTTCTGACGTCACAGGAGAAACACATCCATATTAAGTATAATTATATATATATATATATATATATATATATATATATATATATATATATATATATATATATATATATATATATATTTTTTTTTTTTTTTTTTTTTTTTTTTTTTTTTTTTTTTTTTTTCTGTTCATTGTGATCGAATCATTCTTTTCAATTACTTTATTCTTTGCTTTGACAATTTTGCGAATCATAATTCAAACAAGAGAAGACATTTAAACGCCGCGATGGGTAAAGATCTTTCGTGATTCCTGTCAAATTCATTGGAAATTTCGAGGTATAATGATTTTTCGAAAAAAAAAAAAATCTTTAGGATCTGTAGAATGTCCGAGTTCAGTTAATATTAATACGGCAGATAAGATGGTGGTAATAATGATAGAAAATAATGATGATAATAATGATAATGATAATAATAATAATAATAATAATAATAATGATAATAATAACAATAGTAATAATAGATAATGATAATGATGATAATATTAACAATAATGATAATAGGAGAAATAGTAAATCTGTTTTAATGATAATGATGATAATATTAACAATAATGATAATAGCAGTAATAGTAAATCTGTTTTAATGATAATGATGATAATATTAACAATAATGATGATAGCAGTAATAGTAAATCTGTTTTAATGATAATGATGATAATATTAACAATAATGATGATAGCAGTAAGAGTAAATTTGTTAATGATAATGATGATAATATTAACAATAATGATAATAGCAGTAATAGTAAATTTGTTAATGATAATGATGATAATATTAACAATAATGATAATAGCAGTAATAGTAAATTTGTTAATGATAATGATGATAATATTAACAATAATGATAATAGCAGTAATAGTAAATTTGTTAATGATAATGATGATAATATTAACAATAATGATAATAGCAGTAATAGTAAATTTGTTAATGATAATGATGATAATAATAACAATAATGATAATAGCAGTGATAATAATAGTAATAATAATAATAATAATGATAATAATAATAATAATAATAGTAATAATAATAATAACAATGATAATAGTAATAATAATAATAATAATAATAATAATAATAATAATAATAATAATAATGATAATAATGCTGATGATGATAATGATAATAATAATAATAATGATAATAATAATAATAATAATAATAATAATGATAATAATAATAATAATATCAATGATAATAATAATAATAATGATGATAGTAATGGTAATGGTGTTACTTCTATTAATAATATTAATAATAGAAATAACAAAAATAACAATCATAATGATAATAGGAGTGATAGTAAATCTGATAATGATGACGACAATATTAACAATAATGATAATAGCAGTAATAGTAAATTTGTTAATGATAATGATGATAATATTAACAATAATGATAATAGCAGTAATAGTAAATTTGTTAATGATAATGATGATAATATTAACAATAATGATAATAGCAGTAATAGTACATCTGTTTTAATGATAATGATGATAATATTAACAATAATGATAATAGCAGTAAGAGTAATGATCAATATCAATATCAAAACGAAGTCTGCGACTGACCTAAGCTACGTTAAGCTTTCCCATACATATCAACAAGTATGAATTTTGACCAAGAGATGGCACTAGTGGCCAAGTTCTGTATGTTTTTATTGTAAGTCATATGGTATCTAGTTATAACGGGAGGACAGACAAACAGAGAGAGAGCAAGATATTTTTAGATTTTCAATTAAAGAATAGATACACGTATGTTATTTTGCATATCAGTTAACAATGTTTCCCTTTTGTAAACCAGCTTTTTGTTTTCATTTTCAGATATCAAGAATGTGTAAAATGACCCGCACGTTAGAAACCGCTGGCGCAGGAACATTTAGTGAATCGGTGATGAATATCTGAAAGCTATTCCGAGAACAGGAGCAATCTATTGACAATTGTGTCTCTCGGCCGGCATTTCCTCCAGACCTGCACTTTGCTCAACCTGTTTACGATAGACATATTTCTTTATTCCGTTTAAATCAATAGCAATAGATGAACAAAGACGAGAGAAGATTCAGAGCGTGAGAGTTTCGAGTTCCGGATCCCGCCTCGAAGCACCATGAAGCACCTCGTCGCCCTCGCCGTCTGGTGCATCGTCCTGGCGGCGGCCCTCGCCACGTCCTCCGGCAAGAGGCAGCCCGGACACGCGTCCCCTTCCGACCGCCGCCCCACGCTCTACAGGCACGCCCTTGGGAGACGCCTCAGGAGCGGCTCCGCCGAGGCAAGGGCGGCCGACCAGGATGCCGTGTTGGCCATGCTCCTGCAGAGCACCAACACCTCGGTAGAGGAGAGCATCGAGGCCGACGAGAAGCCGCACCGGCCCAGACACTCCTCGGGCGCGGCAGCGAAGACCTCGTCAGCCCTCGAACACGCCCTCGGCGTCAGCAGCAGCATGAGCAAAAGGTCGTCGACCTCGCCGACGCCGCCTCCCTCGTCGGAGTTGGGCAACAAGTGCGCCTCGGAGAAGGCTGCAGGCACGATGCGCACGGGGCCCGGCGAGCCCGACCGCGTGATCGACATCGCCGTCATCACGCCCTGCAACGCCACCAACCAGTTCTCGCGGCTGCGGGTGATGCCCGTGGTGGAGCTGGCCGTGCGGCACCTGCGGCGGACGGGCCTCAGGGGGCCGCTCGCCAATTACACCATCAACGTCAGGTACAGAGACTCCTTCTCGTCCTCCACCTACGGCCCGCTGGCGGCCGTCGACCTCTACTTCAACAACGCCGCAGGTGAGTACAAAGCTTTGTCTTTCTTCGTCTGTTAGTATGTCTGTCGCTTCCATTTGTCTTCGGAATCTCAGGAGGAAGCTTAAGTTCAATTATTCATCGTCAATGATAACATAACATCGCCATCTGCATCTTTACCCCCATTCTCATCCTCTCTCTCAGCCTTTTTCTCCTCGTTCTCTTCTTCTTCTTCTTCCTCCTCCTCCTCCTCCTCCTCCTCCTCCTCCTCCTCCTCCTCCTCCTCCTCCTCCTTCTCCTCCTCCTTCTCCTCCTCCTCCTCCTCCTTCTCCTTCTCTTCCTCCTCCTCCTCCTCCTCCTCCTCCTCCTCCTCCTTCTCTTCTCCTTCCTCCTTCTCCTTCTCTTCTCCTCCTCCTCCTCCTCCTACTCCTCCTCCTCCTTCTCTTCCTCCTCCTCCTCCTCCTCCTCCTTCTCCTCCTCCTCCTCCTTCTCCTTCTCTTCTCTCCTCCTCCTCCTCCTCCTCCTCCTCCTCCTCCTCCTCCTCTCCTCTCTCCTCCTCCTCCTCCTCCTCCTTCTCCTCCTCCTCCTCCTCCTCTCCTCCTCCTCCTCCTCCTCCTCCTCCTCCTCCTCCTCCTCCTCCTCCTCCTCCTCCTCCTCCTCTTCTTCCACCAATTCCTCCTGCACCTTCTCCTCCTCCTTTTGTATCTAGTGTTCCTACTACTGCGAGTAGTATTACAAAAATGATTATAAAAATAATTATGATGATGAGAATAAATCTAATGTAAGCAATAACTATAGCAGTATTAGAATTGATATTAGCTATAATGATGTAGTTGTAATATATATATATATGTGTGTGTGTGTGTGTGTGTGTGTGTGTGTGTGTGTGTGTGTGTGTGTGTGTGTTTGTGTGTGTGTGTGTGTTTATATGTCTGTGTGTGTGTGTACGTGTAAACACACACGCACACACACACACTCACACAACCCCCCCACACACAAGGGCAACCAGCTGCTGCCAGGAGGAAATATTCCGTCCATACTTCTACGACATATTTAGAGACAAAAAGACTAACGAAGTAGAAAATCGCTGAAATAGTTGAAGTCTGAGCAGAGCTTCTTGAGAAATTCCAGATATTCAACCTGTCTTTGTTGCTGACTTGAGTACAGTCCTTCTGGAATGAATGGACAGACGGATGAATGAGTGAGTAAATGAGGGAAAATCATATGAATAAATGAGTAGACTGTTTGGATGAATGAGGCATTGGATAAAATCGTAAAGAAATATTGGAATGAGTAGATAGATTAGATAGTAGAGGAATATTTAACATGAATGAATAAATGGGTAAAATGATAGAGGAATACTTGAATGGGTGAGTAAATTGGTAAAATAGTAGACGAGCCTATGAATAAGTGAATAAATGGATAGTCTGGAAGAGGGAAAAAACAAGGTAATGAATAAGGAGGGCAGATTTGATGAAATAGAGGAAGATATAAAAGGAAGAATAACTGAAGACGAAAGGATAAATAATGGAATAAGTGAAGCGATGAATAAATGAGTAAGAAAAGGATAAGTGGAGGAAGAGATGAATCAGTGAATAAATAGGGAATTGGAAGAACAGATCAGTTGAATAGTTAATAAGTGAATAAGTAAACGCAGACATGGATGAATCAACAAACGGATAGAATAGAAAGGAGGAGGAAGAAATGCATAAAGGAAGGAAAGGTTAAGATAAAGTAGTAGTTGGTAATTAAAGTAATTAAATAAGATTATATAGATAAACGAATTGAATAGGCAAGTAAATCAAATTGTTCGATGAGTACATAATCAGATGGATTAAACGGTGAGGGAAGTTAGTAAATGAATAAACGAGTGAAAAATATAAAAAAAAAGATCGAATAAATGATAATAGATAAATGCGAGGAAGAGAGATTTAATCTGTGAAAAAAAATCGGAAATGTTTTCTATACCCTTTTGGATTATTCTTAGAAGTGGCCTTTATAGTTAGGTAATTGAAAATAGCACTAAAAGGCAAGAACAAATCTAATACATGAATTATTGATAGGTCAAACCTCTCCACAAATCACAAATGTCGAGCGCCGTTCATTTGACTTACCAAAAATATTCCATTTACACTGCTCTACCTTATGCAACATAAAAAAACTAGGGTTATTATTATCATTTTTTTTTTTGTCTTTTTTTGCAGTCTGTGTTTTTTGAGTGGATTGTAACAAGAGCAAAAAAGTTTACATCTACATTTTTTTCCTTGTTCTTTCTTTTCTTTCTTTTTGGATTTCTTACTGACGTTTATATTAATTTATATGTATTATTCCCAATCATGTTAGGTTTTGAGCTGGAATTAATCGTAACAAGAATCTTTACAGCCCTTTTACACTCAAATATTATGTAAAAGGAAAAAACTCCACGTCTTAATAAAGGAAATTTGAATTATTTTTTTTTTCTGGGTGGCTTGGCTGTAGTGAAATGTGGGTTGTCTTTCCGGAGATTTATGTACATGAATGCTACCTTACTTTTTTCTTTTTGTCTTCGTTTTTCTCTATTTGCTTACAGAGTATTTTTTTTTTCACACACACACACTCACACACACACACACACACACACACACACACACACACACACACACACACACACACACACACACACACACACACACACACACATACACACACACACACACAAAAGAAAAAAAAATATATATATATATATATACATAAATATATATATATATATATATATATATATATATATATATATATATATATATATATATATATATATATACGCACACACACACACACACACACACACACACACACACACACGCATATATATATATATATATATATATATATATATATATATATATATATATATATATATATATATATATATATATATATACACGAACTATTTGAGACCAAAACACGTAGAATTTGATACCGAGAACATACAGAATATGAGAAACAAAGTAAAAAAAGAAAGAAAGTAAGAAACACAGAAGAATAAGAGAGGAAAGGAGAATAAGCAAGGCATGGAGAGTGAAAAAAAGAGAAGGGAGGAAGGAAGGAAGGAAGAGAGGAAGAGAGGAAAAGAATAAAAATGGAGTGAGGGGAGAAGGAGAAGACATACAGGTAAAGCGAAAACCATAGATAGAAAAGATGAAGATGAGGAAGAGGAGGTTTAGAAGAGACAGGAAATGTGGAGAGAAGGAATGAAATAGAGAAGCTGTGATAAGAGGGGATGAAATAAATGAATCAAAGGAACAAGAGAAGATAATGTTGTCTTATTGTTATTATGAAAATACTGATAGTGTTAATGATTATTGCTATCACCATTATATTCATTATCATTATCATTATTATCATTATCATTATCAATACTGTTACTGTTATTATTATCATCATTATCCATCTTCTTCTTATGATATCCATTATTGTTATTGTCATTTTTATCACTGTTATTGTCATTATTATTGTTGTTTAAAAATAGCAACAATAAGACTAATGGAAACAACAATAATAATGATAATGATGATGACGGTGACGATGATGATGATAATGATGGTTAAGACGGAGATGATGATAATGAGGATGATAATGATGATTAGGACGGAGATGATAATGATAGCGACAAAGATGATGATGATGACGAAGTTAATAACAACCACCATAAAAGAAAAATAATAATGATAAAATAAAACTGACTAAAACACATTAAAAAAACATTAATAAATCATTATCTTATCGCCAATAGGATACGTTGCTCTACGCTATGATGCCTGCCAATGATGCCAATACTGTCAAGAGTTGTCAAGTGCTGTCAGCGAAACAAGTATTTCCTGACGCGTTAATGAACTCGTTAAGTGGACTGGGTGTCGGTCAGTGAAGGATGGACTGAGCGAATTCGGAAAAGTCGTATTTAGGAAGGCGTTTCTCGGTGTATTTATGTATTATTATCATTTTATGTGTGTGAGTGGAGCGGGGTCTCTGTTTGTTTGTCTGTCTGTCTGTCTGTCCAAGTTTGTCAGTGTGTCATTCTATCTATCTCTGTTTCTCTATCTGTCTGTCTGTCTGTCTTTATATATATCTGTATCTCTCTCTCTCTCTCTCTCTCTCTCTCTCTCTCTCTCTCTCTATATATATATATATATATATATATATATATATATATGTGTGTGTGTGTGTGTGTGTGTGTGTGTGTGTGTGTGTGTGTGTGTGTGTGTGTGTATACATGATTATATATATGTATATATATATATATATATATATATATATATATATATATATATATATATATATAAAGTTCTCACATGTATAAAATCTATTCTTTCCTCTTTAATCGAGTGATTATTGATATAGAAGTTTACACTGAAATGAGAACTGAATAATTAATCATATGAGTTAGCTGCCAGACAGACAGAGAGGCAGCGAGATACAGAGCTGGCTTAATAAGAAGAGAGATAAACATTGTTAATTCATTTATTCGATCATTAATTTTATTTATATCAGTTAATCATTCAAAACCGTTTGTTTGTTTATGTTTTTTGTTATTTGTTTGTTTGTTTGTTTATTTATTTTTTATCATCTCTATCTTTATCACTCTTGGTTCGTTCATGGTGTTAGGTTTTTGTCGATACTCACGTTGATGTGGAAATGTTTCGTGCGACGAATACTAAACACATTACATAACTTCTCTCTCTCTCCCTCTGCTTCCTTCCTTCATTCCTTCCCTCTTTCTCTTCTTCCTCTCTCCCTCCCCCATTTTCCTTCTTCCCCATTTTCCCTCTTCCGCCCTTTTCTTCTTCCTTTCTCCCCCCCCCCCTCCGCTTCCTTCCTTCATTCCTTCCTCTCTTCCCCTCTCCCTCCCCCTCATTCCTCTTCTCCATTTTCCCTCTTCCGCCCTTTTCCTTTTCCCTTCTTCCCCTCTCCTCCCCCTCATTCCTCTTTCCTCGCATGCCGCCCACGCGGCATGCGAGGGTGAAGAGTGTGGGTGGATGGATAAAGCCGGTGGGCGTGGGTGGGGAGCG